GACGATGCTACAGCAGCAGCAGCAGACGATGCTACAGCAGCAGCAGACGATGCTACAGCAGCAGCAGACGATGCTAACAGCAGCAGCAGACGATTCTACAGCAGCAGACAGACGATGCTACAGCAGCAGCAGACGATGCTACAGCAGCAGCAGACGATGCTACAGCAGCAGCAGACGATGCTACAGCAGCAGCAGACGATGCTACAGCAGCAGCAGGACGATGCTACAGCAGCAGCAGCAGTGACGTGATACAACAGCAGCAGCAGCTGACAGTAGCAGCAGCAGCTGACAGTGCAGCAGCAGCTGACAGTGCAGCAGCAGCTGACAGTGCAGCAGCAGCTGACAGTGCAGCAGCAGCAGACGATGCTACAGCAGCAACAGACGATGCTACAGCAGCAGCAGACGATGCTACAGCAGCAGCAGACGATGCTACAGCAGCAGCAGACGATGCTACAGCAGCAGCAGACGATGCTACAGCAGCAGCAGATGATGCTACAGCAGCAGCAGCAGCTGACGGTGGTACAACAGGCAGCAGCAGCAGCTGACGGTGGTACAGCAGCAGCTGTACCACCAATAGTAGCGATGGTTGATTGGGGTTTATTATACAACCTGGCCAGCTCGGAGACACGCACTCCACTTTCATACTTATCAATGATCTTTTTCTTCATCTCTATAGTAATTCTCACCCTTATTGCTGTAGGGTTGGCACTAGAAGCTTTCTTGGGGCCCATGGTCACTTATTTTCCAGAAAAAATCACCAAAAACACTGTAATAATACGAAATGTTCCGATTGTATGCTTGGATGTTACCGCAGAGGCTGGCTGGTAAACAATGTCACCGGCGGAACATGTGAGCGTGGCTCAGGCCGCACATTGGACGCGTCTCGGACGAAGGGCGGTGAGCGGGTTTTTGGGCGTATGCGAGGCAAAATTTTTGCGAAAAAAGCGAGCGGTATGCGGATTGTACGGTATGCGATGCGTCTGGTATGCGGGGGTCCACTGTACTGCTGTTTTTCTTACGTTTAGTGTAGTTATTTCACAAAATTTCTTGTTTCTAACCATGAGTCCTAAGAAAGCAAGTCCACAGCAGAGTGCCAAGAAGAAAAAGAGGATGATTACCATGGATTTAAAGCAGGAAATCATTGATAAACACGGAGAAGGTGCAGTTAAGTGACAAAGTGCATCATTAAGAGTGTAGCAATTAAGTGTACATAGGATTAAGAGTATATCACCCAGAGAAAATTTCAAATGGTCATGCACTGGACCTATTTAATGATGCTTGCTTAAGTCATTTCCAAATCATTCTGAAAGGGAGGAAGAAACAAACCTCCTTGGGCAGTTTTTTCTTGAAACGCTCTGCAGATGAAAGTGTGACAAGCGTGGAGAAAAGGCCAAAAATCAGTGAATAGTGAAGTACGTATCATTAAAATAAAAATTGTAGCAGTTAAGTGACAAAGTGTATCATTAAGAGTGTAGTAATTAAGTGTACATAGGATTAAGAGTGTATCACCCAGACAAAGCTTCAAATGATCATGCATAAAATACTTAATACAAAGAAGGCCACTAGTATGCCTAGTGCATTGGACCTATTTAATGACAGCATACACCGATGTGCCCAGCATCTCTTCTCCATCTCCAAGGTAAATGCTGTATCACTACATAATTTCTTTACTTATTATTATTATTATTTCATTATTATTATTTTTTATTATTATTATTTTATTATTATTGTTTTCCTTATGAAACTATGTACGTAGTAATCTAAAGGAGTTTGCCTCACAAACAGTCCGTTTTCTGTTATAATAAAAGCATGGGAAGGTATGTCAGGAGGAGCAATGGCCGCCGTGGTGGCCCTATAATACACAACAGCAATGGCCACTGTGACTCCGCCTCCACTAACACTACTCACATACGTAATATTTCATTCATTCTAGTGTATATATCATGTTTCTATGTTATTAATATTGTTTATTATTTCATATTAGATGAACTGTGATAGTAAATAAGCTGTATAGATGATATTAGTGAAATATTGAAGTATCCTGTTAGCCTCCTGAGAGCCGGGAACAGATTAATTTCATTTCAATTAATTTAAAAGAGGAAAACTGACTCACAAATGAGCAAATCCAGTTGCGAGCAAGGTCATGGAACGGATTAAACTCACAAGTAGAGGTTCCACTGTATTTGGCATAATACCGAGAAGTTCGACGGAGGTATGAAGAGGATATGGGATACAAGTACGTACCATTCTCCTATCCCTGTCTTGGGGGATTATATTAGAGAAAACAGAGGGCTAACTGCAATATACACTCATACTGCACCATAAAACTGAAACAAAAAAGCTATTTTCTCTACACTGATTATCACACATAGCAGCATATGTGTAGAGAACCTAGGATAACCCAAAAAAGTCAAAGTGGCTTATTTCTAGTACCTAGCTTGGGTTAGCCATACGAGATTTTTGGTAAATAGTATTCGATTCCCAGCCAAGGTAGAAACACTGGGCATATTTCTTTACACCTGTTGTCTATGTTCACCCATCAGTAAATGGGTACCTGGGTGTTAGTGGACTGGTGTTATCCTGAGACACTGACCTAATCTGCCTGAAATGCTTAGCATAACAAGGGGCTTTCTATACAGTAGCATGTCACTGATGTCAGCTAGACCTGTGTACCATGTACATATACTACCTGTTATTATTATTATTTTCTCTCAGTTGTTTGTTCGGCTATCTTATTGAAACTTGAGCAATGTATGATGGAAAAATGCTTCTTAACGTACACCAAAAATGAAAGAAATCAGACCATAAATAACAGAGTTCACTTCTCAGCCATTAGCGGCCCCATAGCAGTATATTTTCATATGTTTTTATGGTTGGATTCTCGTTTTTTTGGAAGATATATTACAGAAATAGATATGATTCTGATTTTCACAATGGAAGGTACCTTGAAATTGTGCTCACAGTAGCAGAAATGTTCCATTCTTTAGCGATGTTCAAGAGAAAACACTGTCTAATGCGTACATGTCCTACTGGCCAGTCTAAACTCCAATATGCAGCCAAGAATGGGTTGACATTATTTATACAATTATTACAGTAACTCAGTAGTCTGCATAACAGGAAATCTTCTATTTTTTGTGTGAATAAAAATTCCAAATGGTAAGCAAGAGTAATATAAGAGGGGCTTGGAGCCATGACTAATGAACAGAGAAAATGTTATTTTAGTGTCAGGAATGTTATTATTTTTTATTTTTTATTATCACACTGGCCGATTCCCACCAAGGCAGGGTGGCCCGAAAAAGAAAAACTTTCACCATCATTCACTCCATCACTGTCTTGCCAGAAGGGTGCTTTACACTACAGTTTTTAAACTGCAACATTAACACCCCTCCTTCAGAGTGCAGGCACTGTACTTCCCATCTCCAGGACTCAAGTCCGGCCTGCCGGTTTCCCTGAATCCCTTCATAAATGTTACTTTGCTCACACTCCAACAGCACGTCAAGTATTAAAAACCATTTGTCTCCATTCACTCCTATCAAACACGCTCACGCATGCCTGCTGGAAGTCCAAGCCCCTCGCACACAAAACCTCCTTTACCCCCTCCCTCCAACCTTTCCTAGGCCGACCCCTACCCCGCCTTCCTTCCACTACAGACTGATACACTCGAAGTTATTCAAGAGTGTATCAGTCAGGAATGTCTGCATTGTTAATTCTGGACCCTATTTTGTAATTGGCATCTGCTGAAATTTGTGTGAAATTGGCCAGTATGTCAATTTCTGATCACTTTATTGGGTAGTTGAAATAGGTGAATGGGCGGTTTCTTGTACTCAGTCGACACAATAGAAGTAAATAAGAAAGTTTATTCAGGTATACACAAATACAGTTACATAGAGTATCATACATAGCAGCGTATGTAGAGAGAACCTAGGATAACCCAAAAAAGTCAAAGTGACTTATTTCCAGTACCTGGCTTGGGCTTGCCATATATGATTTTTGGTAAATATTTTTTTTCCTCAGTTGTTTTTTGGACTATCTTATTGAAACTTGGGCAATGTATGATGGAAAGATGCTTCTTAACGTGCACCAAAAATAATAATAAAAAAGAAAAACAGACGATAAATAAGGGAGTTCACTTCTCATCCATTAGCCGCCTCTTTGCGGTATATTTTCTTATGGTTTTTTGGTTGTATTCTCATATTTTTGGTCTCATTTGATAGAATGGAAGATATATTACAAAAATAGATATGATTTTGATTTGTTTCATGACGAAAAGTACCTTGAAATTGAGCTCAAAGTAGCAGAAATGCTCAATTTTTGCCAATGTTCAATGAACTTTGTGTAAGTCAAGTTGGTTAATTTTATTAAGTGTATTCTAACCTAACCACTCTGTAATCTAGCAAACTCAATAATCTGGCACACTACAGGTCTCAATGATGCCGGATTTGTGATGGAGGACCTGTACATACATGTATATTAGGCCAAAATTGGAATATGCAGTAGTGGTGTAGTGCCCACACCTTTGAAAACACATGGATAAGTTATAAAAAAATCCAAAGAAGAGCTTCAAAATGGTTACCAGTTAAAATATAATCAGGGTTATGACCACTGGAATTTTTCAAAATTGTATGATGAACAGTTTACTGAAGATGGGATACCACAAGCAAAGCTTTGTTCCAGTGACTATTAATGGGTAATTACAATAAGCATTGTATTTTGCTGGATATAATGAGAGACTGCATACACAATGTGTGTACACAATACTGATAAAACCAGTGATAACCAAAAAAAAAATTATGAAAAGAAAAATTTCCTTTTCAGAAATAATGATATGCAGAGGTCTCAGATTGTCATTAGGATGCTCAAACCTCACCACCACAATAAGATAACCCAGCATCAAGATATGAGGGTTTTGTGAAACACACGCAGTTTGTTACCCTTTCTGTTACATTCATTAAATTAAAGAAAAGCAAACATTTTCTCAATGCTAAACTATCCAAACTTGCCTTTATTCTACCACCACTGTCTGGCCCAAAGTCTGCTGCTGGGTTGGGTTTTTGTTGTGGCTGCTGCTGCTGCTGCAGCTGCAGCTGCTGCTGCAGCTGAAAACTGTTGTTGTTGCTGCGGCTGCTGCTGCTGCTGCTGCTGCTTGTTGTTGTTGCTGTTGTTGTTGCTGCTGTTGCTGCTGCTGCTGTTGTTGCTGTTGTTGTTGCTGTTGTTGCTGCTGTTGTTGCTGCTGCTGTTGCTGCTGCTGTTGCTGCTGCTGTTGCTGCTGATGATGTTGCTGTATCTGCACCTGGGCCATGTTGCTTGTCCAATCATCTGTAAAAATTAAAAGGAGAAGAAAATTACATGGGAATCAACAAATCACCTGTTTAGGTTTGTTTGACATTCCCATTATTTAGCATTATTCGTTTAGGTGTCAGACCAAATAAAACTGCCGAATGATGTTGAATACAGAATAATAGATCCCCTGGATATGCATTTATCTACTGAAGTATGCATCACATTGATTCAAAGGGCACCACTTTGATGAACTACAGTATAAGTTTATTATTAAGAGGGCAAAGGATATTACTGCATTATAGTGACAACATTAGCCCTTTCAGGGTCCAGAGGCTAAATTTCAAAGGGTGCACCAGTGTCCAAGAATTTAAAAAAAAAAAAATTATTTTTTCTTATGAAATGGTAGAGAATCTTTTTCTGAAGGTAATAAAACAACAAGTACAAAATTGATGGAAAATTAACGAAATTATGCTCTTGCGAATTTTGATGTCAGCAATATTTACGAATCGGCGATTTTGCCGACTTTGACTCCCATTTTAGGCCAATTACATTACTCCAGTCAACCAAATTATTAAACTATTTCACTAGTATTATTTCTATTCTATCGATTGAGCACAAGAAATCGCCCAGTCAATTGTTTTAACTACAAAATAAAGTGATCGGAAATTGGTAATTTGGCCAATTTAACACAAAATTCAAAATATTCCTATTTCAAAATAGGGTCCAGAATAAACAATGCAGATTCCTGGCACTAAACTAACATCTCTGCTCATTAGTTATGTTTTCAGGCTTTACAAATGAATTCCATTTTGATTTTTTATTCACATAATGAACTTTTATTTAAACCAAAAAATAGAAGATTTACTGTTATGCAATATTGTAATAAATGTATAAATATCATCATCACATTTGTGAATGTATATTAGACCCACCAGCTGGCATGTATTAGACGTGTGAGGTCGTTTGTTTACTCTTGAACATCGACAAAAATTTAACACTTCCGCTACTTTGAGCTCAGTTTCAAGACATTTCCAGTACTAAAACCAATCAAAATCATCTCCATTTCTGTAATATGTCTTCCATTCTATCAAATGAGACCAAGAAATCACAAATACAACTATAAAAAACATACAAAAAAACACTGCAAAGTCGCTGTTTTAATCGAAAATCACGGTCTCAGTTTTTTTCTCTCATTATACACTGTGTGCTGCAGGATTTGTTTTATGCGGTGCACACATACCACATAGATGTATTCTCTCATATCTAGGCCCAAATTTATCAGTCACAGCTTATCAGAGTAAGCTGAGCTCGTGGCGTAGATCTACGGTTTGGACCCTGAATGTAAAGCTGTAGATCTATGGGACGGACCCTGAAAGGTTTAATTACCAGTAATATTTACTAAAATCTTAAGAAATTCAGTCTGGTACATGAAAACATGAAAGGAGTTCATTGCTGAAATGACGCACTCAAATATCCGGAAGAAAATTTGTAGATTCATAAAGTTTTAAGCACCTAATGATATCAAATCAGTGTGTAACATACATCAGAGCACATATTTAGGAGTTAACAGACTGTTGAGGGCTGCATCCAGGAGGGAGGACCTATAAAAGTCCTAATGGAATTAAATACCACTGTGTCCTTTTTGAGTTTTAGGTGAATTAATTTTTTTAATGGTAGCACTAAACCCGTAAGTCATACAGCACCTGGGAAACAGGAGAGAATAAAAATGATCTCACCAATATTCCCAAGTCACCAATTATGGCTGCACTCATCTCAGTCTTGTTGGTTTTCTAATTGCTGGTATGAGTAGTGTATTGTTCTTATTGTTAGTGAAGTCAGATGCAGGTCTGTCATCTGCTAGTAATAGGTGGTGCTTAGTCATTTATGTATTTGTAATTCACTGATCAACAACCAAAATGCTTCTGAGACCAGAGTAGCAATTTCCAATTAATTTTAGGTCACTGATAATGAATATCACGATTAAAATTGTTTGTTAGCTCTACGTTTTAATATACACCTACGTGTCACAACAAGTTCCAACAGGCTTGTGGCAGTGTGCTTCTTACCACACTCACAGTCTCACTGCCCTTCATTATTGTTCCAGCAGTCATAGAAAGTGGTTGTATTGTGCAAGTTTATATTTTAAGGTGAAAGGTACTTGATTTTCTTAGCCAAACACTCTTGTGAGGGGCTTGCAGGGTGGATACACCTAGTACTGCTGCTTTCTATGTGAATGGGACAGCCGTGCAAGAGGTTCCCACTACATCAGGAGAGACTCGCCACCTCGTCAATCATTGAAGCCTGGGATGAAAAATGTTCAACATCCACCTCTCATTGAACCAAACAAAATTTTGCTATCACCACTACACATAAAACTGAGGCTCATGAGAAACTTTGTAAAAGGTATGGACAAATCCGGTCAGGGATTCAAGTATTTAACATCAAAATTCCTTTCACTGAGCGACGCTAAGACAAGAGAAAGAGTCTTCAATGGCTCTCGTGAGCTTCTTAAAGATGGTGTCTTTGAATCAGACCTTCATGGGGAAGAGAAAGCTGCTTGGGAAGCATTCAAGTTAGTGGTGAAGGGATTTCTCGGAAACAAAAGAGAAGGCAACTATGAAGAATTGGTGGAAAACCCCATCAAGGCTTACAAGAACATGGGATGTAACATGTCACCTAAAATCCACTTATTGGACTCAAATTTAGACTTTTTTTCCAGCAAACTGTGGGTCAGTTAGTGATGAACATGGTGAAAGGTTTCACCAAAGATATTTCAACCAGGGAAAAATGGTACCAGGGCAAATAGTGCACAAGAATGCTTGCAGACTATTGTTGGACATTGGCAAGAGATGATTCTTCAGCCTACTATAAGCATCAAGCACAAAGGCAGAGCGTAGGCATGGATTAAAGTTTAAAACATACTGACACATATTGTAAGTTATAATAAAATAATCAAATACAGCCTCTCCTCACTTAGCAACGTACTTGTTTACTGACACCTCAGACTTACGACATGCTCTCTGACCAGTATTTATACCTAAATAATGTATATTAAAGCTGATTTCCTCTATTTTTTTATTTCATTATACAGTACACTACTGTATAAACACTTAAAAATATACCAGAAATATTATAAATGGTGCAAAGGTGACAAAACAATATCAAAGATGGTTGACCAAAACCCATTACCATTATAGTATGCTCCTTACTTAGCAACGTACAGTGGACCCTTGACCAACGATGGCATCAACTAACGATAAAATCAGGTAACGATGCGTTTTTGGTAAAAATATTGGCTCAACCAACAATGAAAAACTCAGGTAACGACATCTGTCCCGAACACGTCCGCCTGTCCGTCCAGCGTGAGCACCTCAGTTGCCCTGCCTTCAGCTAGTGTGCCATTGTTTACAAGCCAGGGCGGACGGTTCCACGCATACATTCGATACATTTTGTATTAGTCCATTGTTTTTAGTACTTGTAACTGCTAAATAAACCACCATGGGCCCAAAGAAAGCTTCTAGTGCCAACCCTGTGGTAAAAAGGGTGAGAAATACTATCATAATACTATCGTACCACAGTCAGCTGCTGCTGCTGCACTACCATCAGCTGTTGCTGCACCACCGTCAGCTGCCGCTGTACCAAGGTCAGCTGCTGCTGCTGCACCACCATCAGCTGTTGCTGCACCACTGTCAGCTGCTGCTGTACCACTGTCAGCTGCTGCTGTACCACGGTCAGCTGCTGCTGCTGCTGCACCACCATCAGCTGTTGCTGCACCACCATCAGCTGCTGCTGCACCACCGTCAGCTGCTGCTGTACCACGGTCAGCTTTTGCTGCACCACCGTCAGCTTTTGCTGCACCACCATCAGCTGCTGCTGCACCACCGTCAGCTGTACTACTCGAAAATATGAAGTGTGTGTTGTTGGTGTGGCTTAACGAGAAACAATTAACCCCAGAGGGTTAGCCACCCAGGATAACCCAAGAAAGTCAGTGCATCATCGAGGACTGTCTAACTTATTTCCAATAGGGTCCTTAATCTTGTCCCCGAGGATGCAACCCACACTAGTCGACTAACACCCAAGTGAACAGGGAAAAAATGCCTGGAACTAGTGCTCATATTAATATGGTGAATTTAAGGCCAGCAAAGGTTGGTTTGAGAGATTTAAGAATTGTAGTGGCATACACAGTGTGATAAGGCATGGTGAAGCTGAAAAATTCCAACCCCAACAAGTGTTCAATTGTGACGAAACAGGCCTGTTCTGGAAGAAAATGCCAAACAGGACCTACATTACTCAGGAGGAAAAGGCACTCCCAGGACACAAGCCTATGAAAGACAGGTTAACTCTCATGTTTTGCTGTAATACTAGTGGGGATTGCAAAGTGAAGCCTTTACTCATGTATCACGCTGAAAATCCCAGCGTGTTCAAGAAAAACAGTGTCTCATCACTCATCAATACACTTCAATAAAGGTAAGTGTTATTTTAGTATTTATTTATGTATAATGTCTCATTGTTTTCTTTGTAGGGAAATGTATATTTCATGTAGAAAAAATTATTTTTTTTTTGACACTTGGCTGTCTGGAATAGATTAATTGGATTTCCATTATTTCTTATGGGGAAAATCAATTTGGCTAAGGACAAGCTCTCTGGAATGGATTAAAATCGTTAGTAGAGGTCCATTGTATTCGTTTAATGAAGTGATCTTAGGAATGGAACTCCGTCATTAAGTGAGAAGAGACTGTATTACATATCTCATATCTTTAAACCTATAGCCAATAAGCATTTTTCAAGGTGACATTTGGATTCAGGACATGACAATACATAAGAATTAACAAATCTCATTTAAGAAGCATACAACTTTTCAAAAATTTTGTTGACCAGTGATCAGTGTTTTCAGTTTAGCCCTAAAGGCTGGGATATTAGTACTGTATTAGGCATCCTGTATATGGCCCCAATTGCTATAGGTTTTTTTTAGTTTTCACAGAGAAGTTTGCAAATATATATTCACCACATTCACCATTGAAAGATATGGTGTTACTACATGATAGTTCATTAGAATAAAAGGTGGCAATGCCTCCCCAATTTGTTCTGGACTGCAGTTGTGGATTGCTGCTTATCCTGGTAGTGTGTAGATGTCTGTAATTCAAAACTGTAATATTTCTGGCATTACTGAGGACAGTACTGGTTTCTGTTGCTGTGTAGTAAAGGCAGCTCCTTATATTAAATGTTGACTGGGATTTAGATTATATAGATTCAGTTCAGGGTTGATGTCATCATTGAGCATTTAGGGTTAACTGGTAAATATTTAAATGATTATGAAATGCAGAAAGGTGATAAGGGGTAATATTAATACAGTGGTCCCCCGCTTTTCGTAGTTCCCGGCAATCATAGGGGTATTTTCGTATAAACATGGACTCACTTTTCATAGGTTGACTTCGCGAGTCATAGTTTCGTCCGGGACGCGTACGCACGGCTTGAGCCAGGGCGGCAGCCAGTCTGGCATTGTTTACCAGTGAGCGAAGGTCCCCTCACGTGCTCCAGCGAAATATTTCATAATATTCCATTTATTTTAGTGCTTGCAAGTACTAAATAAGCTACCATGGCTCCAAAGAAAGCTCCTAGTGCCAAGCCTGTGGTAAAGAAGGTGAGAATACGATTGAATTTAAGAAAACCATCATTGAACAAATATGAAAGTGGTACAAGTGTGGCCGAACTGTCCAGGATGTATAAGAAACCCTACACAACTTTATGTTCCATAGAGGCCAAGAAATATGAAATAAAGGATGCTGTTGTTGCAAAGGGAGTAACTATGCTGACAAAAATGAGATCACCAGCACTGGAAGAGGTTGAGAAGTTATTATTGGTGTGGATAAATGAGAAACAATTAGCAGGAGATACTCTTATGACTTCGTTTATTTGTGAAAAGGCTAGGCACTTGCATGAAGATTTGGTAAAGAAATTGCCTGCAAATAGTGGTGAAGTGAGTGAATTTAAGGCCAGCAAAGGCTGGTTTGAGAGATTTAAGAACCGTACTGGCATACACAGTGTAGTAAGGCATGGTGAGGCTGCCAGTTCGGACCACAAGGCGGCTGAAAAATATGTGCATGAATTCCAGGAGTACATAAACAGTGAAGGACTGAAATCTGAACAAGTGTTCAATTGTGATGAAACAGGCCTCTTTTCGAAGAAAATGCCAAAGAGGACCTTCATTACACAAGAGGAAAAGGCAATGCCAGGACACAAGCCTATGAAAGACAGGCTGACGCTAATGTTCTGCGCTAATGCTAGTGGGGATTTCAAAGTGAATCCATTACTAGTGTACCATTCTGAAAATCCCAGTGTGTTCAGGAAAAACAATGTTATGAAGAGTAAATTGTGGTGTGTTTTGGAATCTAATAGTAAGGCATGGTCACGAGGGAAATTTTCGTCGAGTGGTTCAATGAAGTGTTTGGCCCTAGTGTGAAGGAGTATCTCCTGGAAAAGAAATTGGATCTCAAGTGTGTGCTAGTAATGGACAATGCACCTGCTCATCCTCCAAACTTGGATGACCTAATTTTCGAGGAGTTTGGGTTCATCACAGTAAAGTTCTTGCCCCCGAATACCACTCCTCTCCTCCAACCCATGGACCAGCAGGCTATTGCAAACTTTAAAAAACTCTACACCAAAGCAATGTTTCACAGGTGCTTGACTGTGACCACAGACACTCACTTGACCCTAAGGGAATTTTGGAGAGAACACTTCAGCATCCTCCACTGCATAACCCTTATAGGTATGGCTTGGGAGGGAGTGACTACCAGGACTTTGAACTCTGCCTGGAGAAAATTGTGGCCAGATTGTGTCGACAAGAGGGATTTTGAAGGATTTGGGACTGACCCTAATGAGCCTATGTCTGTTGTAAAATCAATTGTGGCACTGGGGAGTTCCATGGGGTTGGATGTGAGTTTGGAGGATGTGGAAGAATTGGTGGAAGACCACAATGAAGAGCTCACCACTGAGGAGCTGCAAGAGCTTCAGCAGGAAGAGCAACACATCGCAGCTCAGAATCTTGCTGCAGAGGAGGAGGAAGAGAGATGGAAGAAGGTGCCTTCTTTAGAAATTAAAGAGATTTTTACTATGTGGGGTAAGATGGAAAGCTTTATGGAGAAACATCACCCTAACAAGGTTGTTGCAAGCCAGGTTGGCAACATGTACAGTGACAAAGTCTTGGGCCATTTTAGGGAAGTGTTAAAGAGATGCCAGAAACAGAGCTCTCTCCACAGTTATTTTGTGAGACAGGACTCCAGTGACTCTCAAGGTGGTCCTAGTGGCATTAAGAAACAGAGAAGAAAAGCAACCCCAGAACAGCAAATGGTACCTGAGGTGTTGATGGAAGGAGATTCCCCTTCCAAACTATAAACAATCCACTCTCTCTTCTCCTCCAGTCTCCCATACACTAAGAAGAATCTCCAGTAAAGGAAAGTGTTATTGCTGTTAATGTTTCATTCATCATTTCCCATTGTATTGTTTATGTACTACATGTATATTTCATGTTAAAAATTTTTTTGTTTTAATACTTCTGGGTGTCAGGAATGGATTAATTGTATTTACATTATTTCTTATGGGGAAAATTGATTCGTAAATCGTAAATTTCGTTTATAGTAACGGCTCCAGGAACAGATTAATTACGAACAACGAGGGACCACTGTATCTGTAACAAGGGGGTGATCGAACAATATTAGTGTAAATGTATATTGTTCCAGTAGATTGCAGAACTAATAAACATACACTGATATAGTAGTAATAAAATATAATGAACAATTAAGACTAGATATATCAAGAGCACCTAACTGTTACCAGAGGAAGTGCCAAACTTGTAGGGGGTCATATACACAGTGGCCTGTGGCCTGGTGGCGAAAGCTCTCGCTTCACACAGTAAGAGTCCGGGTTCAATTCCTGGCAAAGAGTAAACACACTGAGTGCGTTTCCTTACACCAGTTGTCCATGTTCACTCATCAGTAAAAATGGGTACCTGGGTGTTAGTTGCCTGGTGTGGGTCGCATCCTGGGACAAAAGCGACTTAATTTGCCCGAAATGCTCTACATAACAAGCGGCTTTCTATACAGCATTATTATTATTAACTGGAGAATGGGAGGCACTCAGGTTCATTGTAGGGAAGGAAGGAGAGGTTAAGTTCAGTTCCTTAGATCCAGAGCCCCCTCATAGGCCTGAGGAAGCTCTTGGCAAGCAAAACACAGCTGTAATAAATAAGTTAGGAGATGCATCTATTCGCCTAACATAGTAACTGTATTACTAAAAATACAATTTCTTGAATCAAAAGCCCTTCAGCATGATCAAGCCGCCTTCCTTGTTTACCTGGAGTTTACCAGGCCTCCTAGGAAGCTCTTGTTCTAACCTTCTAAAATATCAGTGTTATCAGAAAAAGCATCATAAAGCACTCTAATAATAAATAATTACCAACAACTACTTGGGGGAACTAAGAGTTACATAACCTAACCAAACCTAAAGTAACCTAACCCAATCTGATTACCACCTACAGGATGGTTATGGGGTGAATGACAAGATATTAAACTAAACTTTACATTTATACTACTATGGATAATAATTGTAATCGCCAAAATTTGTATAACTGTACTTATGTGTACATACCTGTACCGAAATAAACTTTACTTACTTCTTTACTTAGCTTACTTACTTGAAGTAACCTAACCTAACCAATTTTCATCAATATACTCCAAAGAAAAATTTCCACAAAAAATACTTATTCCATCATGTACATAGGTTATTCATTTGAAAAGTAAAAAAAAAAAACTAATGACCAAATTTCAGTGTGCAGTTGTCAGTAATTATGACTGTAAAATTTTATCCACATTCAGTACACAAATTAATTTTTTTATAATTGTCTTACATAATAACATTATTTAATTTTTTGTGAAGTGCTTATATGTATGAGCGATACATTGCCCGGGAGAAATAGGCAGCAATCAGAAGAATAGGTCTAATTCCTTAAATCAAGAATCTCTCACCAGTATTGAGCCACCTTTCTTGAGATATATATAATGATAATTACCTAGCATAACCGAACAGTCAAACAGTGACTTATTTCTGTTGACTGGGAACTTGTTAGTGATGTACGACACAGCTTGCTTCAAGGTCTCTTTTCCTGCAGGTAACTTCAGGACTTGTAGTGTGGGGTGTCACGGGCTTGAGTGTGGGGTGTCACGGGCCTGAGTGTGGGGTGTCACGGGCCTGAGTGTGGGGTGTCACGGGCCTGAGTGCGGGCAAGTTCTCCGGGTACGCAGGTTAAAGAGAACACACCGTCCTTCTTCAGGATACCCACAGTCTACCTAGAAGTTCTTTCTGCCAATGACTGGACGAGTCTGGATGTGTTGTGACTCTGTACTGGTGCAGTGATGTACTGGTGCAGTGATGTACTGGTGCAGTGATGTACTGGTGCAGTGATGTACTGGTGCAGTGATGTACTGGCGCAGTGATGTACTGGTGCAGTGATGTACTGGTGCAGTGATGTACTGGTGCAGTGATGTACTGGTGCAGTGATGTACTGGTGCAGTGATGTACTGGTGCAGTGATGTACTGGCACAGTGATGTACTGGTGCAGTGATGTACTGGCGCAGTGATGTACTGGTGCAGTGATGTACTGGTGCAGTGATGTACTGGCGCAGTGATGTACTGGTGCAGTGATGTACTGGCGCAGTGATGTACTGGCGCAGTGATGTACTGGCACAGTGATGTACTGGTGCAGTGATGTACTGGTGCAGTGATGTACTGGTGCAGTGATGTACTGGTGCAGTGATGTACTGGTGCAGTGATGTACTGGCGCAGTGATGTACTGGCGCAGTGATGATGTTACTGGCACAGTGATGTACTGGTGCAGTGATGTACTGGCCAGTGATGTACTGGTGCAGTGATGTACTGTGCAGTGAGTGATGGGGCTGGTATGCAGTGATGTACTGGTGCAGTGATGTACTGGTGCAGTGATGTACTGGCACAGTGATGTACTGGTGCAGTGATGTACTGGTGCAGTGATGTACTGGCACAGTGATGTTACTGGTGCAGTGATGTACTGGTGCAGTGATGTACTGGCACAGTGATGTACTGGTGCAGTGATGTACTGGTGCAGTGATGTACTGGCACAGTGATGTTACTGGCGCAGTGATGTACTGGTGCAGTGATGTACTGGCACAGTGATGTACTGGCGCAGTGATGTACTGGTGCAGTGATGTACTGGCACAGTGATGTACTGGTGCAGTGATGTACTGGTGCATAAGTGATGTACTGCAGATTACGCACAGTGATGTTACTGGTGCAGTGATGTACTGGCAGTGATGTACTGGCAGTGATGTACTGTGCAGTGATGTACTGGTGCAGTGATGTACTGGCACAGTGATGTACTGGTGCAGTGATGTACTGGCAAATGATGTACTGGTGCAGTGATGTACTGGCACAGTGATGTACTGGGCATATGTGAACAGGCCCTGATGTATCAGGCAGTGATGTCGGCACAGTGAATGGATACTGTTGGTGGGATTAAGTACTACACAAAACTGTTACTGGAAAGTTTGTTTCTTGGCAACTACAGAGTGTGTAATATACATATTATTCAAAACAGGCTGCAGAGTTCACAGACTATACTATGTTCTCTTTTTAGTTGGGTTTAAGGCACTACACAAAAAACCGTATTCGAAATGGCCCTCTCGCAAAGGTTACAATGTTTTTAACACATATTATAAAAATTAATACAAAGCAGGGACTGCATCTCAAATTTAGTAGGGCAATACACTAATAACTCTTTCGTTTTACAAGTTGGACAATTTACAGGCCACTGATCACATACAACCGTATCGAGCCCAATTCTACAATGGTGATTACTTTACATAAGGGTTTATTATTGGCACCAATACCACATAGTGGGCAGTAGTCAAAAGATTACAGAGGTACATAATTGGTCCAGGGACTGGACTCCAAAGTTTAGATAGCTGAGCAAGTTACAGACGTAATGAACTCACAGTTTACAAAGGTAATGAACTCACAATTTACAAAGGTAATGAACTCACAATTTACAAAGGTAATGAACTCACAATTTACAAAGGTAATGAACTCACAATTTACAAAGGTAATGAACTCCAGGTAGGTCTGGTCACAATCACGACAAGTTACAAAAGTATTTACAGATTACAGAGGTACGTAATGGGTCCAGGGACCGGGCCCCCAAAGTTTGATAGCTGAACTAGGTACAAGGTAATGAACTCACAAGTTGCAAAAGTAATGAATACTGTAAGAATGGTTACTTACGTTTATACATGGCTACAATCATGAACAAATTATAGAGTAATGAACAATTCACACTTCCACACCCGGTCACAACTGTAATGAGTTATTGGTGCAAATATTGATTGTTGTGTCACACACACACACAAACACACATGGTGTGAGGAAGATTTGTTGCCCAAGGCTGGGCGATGACAGAAAAGGAACATAAGTTCCTTTGTAAATAGACATAGAAACTTGAAGTTTCCAATTAGATCCTTGCCAAGCCCCAGCAGGGGGGGACTCCCACACTCCCACCTGAGTTCAATTTACCTGGAGTTTACCTGGAGAGGGTTTCGGGGGCCAACGCCCCCGCTGTGAAAATTTGTCTGGACTGCCTCCAAAGTGAGTCGCCTACCCTGGCAAGCTCTGTTAACACCGAGCTCTGAGGTCGGTACCTCAGCCTCACAAGTGGCTTACCTGGAGTTTACCTGGTGAGAGTTCCGGGGGTCAACGCCCCCGCGGCCCGGACTGTGACCAGGCCTCCTGGTGGATCAGAGCCTGATCAACCAGGCTGTTGCTGCTGGCTGCACGCAAACCAACGTACGAGCCACAGCCCGGCTGATCAGGAACTGACTTTAGGTGCTTGTCCAGTGCCAGCTTGAAGACTGCCAGGGGTCTGTTGGTAATCCCCCTTATGTGTGCGGAGGCAGTTGAACAGTCCTCGGGCCCCTGACACTTATTGAAATGGTCTTTTAACTGCTAGTGACACCCCTGCTTTTCAGTGGGGGGATGGTGCATCGCCCTGCCAAGTCTTTTGCTTCGTAGTGAGTGATTTTCGTGTGAAAGTTCGGTACTAGTCCCTCTAGGATTTTCCAGGTGTATAAAATCATGTAACTCTCCTCCTGCGTTCCAGGGAATACAGGTTTAGGAACCTAAAGCGCTCCCAGTAATTGAGTGTTTTATCTCCGTTTTTGCGCGCGTAAAAGTTCTCTGAAACATTTTCTAGTCGGCAATTTCACCTCCCTTTAAAAGGTGCTGTTAGTGTGCAGCAATATTCCAGCCTAGATAGAACAAGTGACCTGAAGAGTGTCATCATGGGCTTGGCCCTTTCCCTAGTTTTGAAGGTTCTCATTATCCATCCTGTCATTTTTCTAGCAGATGCGATTGATACAATGTTAGGGTCCTTAAAGGGTGAGATCCTCCGACATGATCACTCCCAGGTCTTTGACGTTGGTGTTTCGCTCTATTTGGGGCCAAAATTTGTTTTGTACTCTGATGAAGATTTAATTTCCTCATGTTTACCATATCTGAGTAATTGAAATTTCTCATCGTTGAACTTTCAAAATGTTTTCTGCAGCCCACTGAAAAAATTTGGTTGATGTCCGCCTGGAGCCTTGCAGTGTCTGCAATGGAAGACACTGTCATGCAGATTCGGGTGTCATCTGCAAAGGAAGACACGGTGCTGTGGCTGACATCCTTGTCTATGTCGGATATGAGGATGAGGAACAAGATGGGAGCGAGTACTTTGCCTTGTGGAACAGAGCTTTTCACCGTAGCTGCCTCATACTTTACTCTGTTGACGACTAGTCTCTGTGTTCTGTTAGTGAGGAAATTATAGATCCATCGACCGACTTGTCGTGTTATTCCTTTAGCACGCATTTTGTCGAAGGCTTTTGCAAGGTCTGTATATATTACATATAAGAACATAAGAACGATGGAACACTGCAGAAGGCCTACTGGCCCATGCGAGGCAGGTCCAAGTCTCCTACCGGCTTAAGCCAATGCACCCAACCTAGTCAGGTCAGGTCACATTGACTTAAGGGAGGAACACGGCAACCGACCTGGTAGCACAAGCTATCAGGTCTAACTCACACCCACCCACATCTACTCATATATTTATCCAACCTATTTTTAAAGCTACACAACGTTCTGGCCTCTATAACGGTACTTGGGAGTTTGTTCCACTCATCCACAACTCTATTACCAAACCAGTACTTTCCTATATCCTTCTGAATCTGAATTTTTCCAACTTAAAACCATTGCTGCGAGTCCTGTCTAGGCTAGTTTATTTTCAGCACACTATTTACATCCCCTTTATTTATTCCTGTCTTCCATTTATACACCTAAAATCATACCCCCCTAATTCTACGTCTTTCTAGAGAGTGCAGTTTCGGGGCCCTTAGTCTATCCTCATAGGGAAGGTTTCTGATACATGGGATAAAACTTGTCATCCTCCTTTGTACATTTTCCAGAGAATTTATATCCATTCTGTAATACGGTGACCAAAACGTGCAGCATAATCTAAATGAGGCCTAACCAAGGATGTATAGAGTTGAAGAACCAACCTGAGGACTCCTATTATTTATGCTTCTTAATTGAAGCCAAGGATTCTATTAGCTTTATTGCGAACTAACTTATGCACTTTGTCTTGGTTTCAGATTACTGCTAACCAGAACTCCTAAACCCTTTTTCGCAATCCGTAATATTAAGACTAAAATTTTTAGTTTATAGGGTGGCATGGTTATTTTTCCTGTCCAACATTTAAAACTTTGCTTTTTGTCTATATTAAACTGCATCTGCCACTTCTCCCGACCACTGCATCAGTCTATTCAAATCTTCCTGGAGTGTTTCGAATGTCCTCGTCAAATGAATTCGAGGGCCATTTTTGGTGTCATCGGCAAACTTCCGATGTCGCTCTTTATTGCCCTCATCTATGTCGTTATGTAGATTGTGAACAGCAGGGGGCCCAACACTGACCCCTGTAAAACACAGCTCGTGACGCTTCCCCACTCTGATTCTCCCCTTTTATGCAAACTCTCTGCTGCCTATTTGTCAGCCATGCCTCTATCCAGGAAAAAATTTCTCCTCCTATTCCATGTGCTTTAATTTTCCTCAATAGTCTCTGATGTGGGACCCTCTCAAAAGCCTTACTGAAGTCCATATACAAAATATCATATTCATTACCATGATCTACCTCCTCAAATACCTTAGTGAAAAAAGTTAATAAATTCGTAAGGCAGGAACGCCCCTTTGTAAAACCATGCTGAGATTCGTTGTTTAATCTATGCTTTTCAAGGTGGCTACGAACTGCCTCGGCAATTATTGATTCCATAAATTTTTCCCCACTAGGGAGGTTAGGCTTATTGGTCTATAGTTCGAAGCTAAGGACCTGTCACCTTTTTGAAAATGGGTATCACTTTTGGGCCATTTTCCACTTACGGGCACCATGCCAGTTTGTAGTGATATTTGAAAAGATTACCAAAGGTGCGCTAAGCTCCTCTTTACTTTTCCTTTTGAACCCTTGCATACAGTTCATCAGGGGCCCGGGGATTTTTTTAGGTTTTAATTTATCTATTGCCTAAGGACCATGTCACTTGTGACCCTAATGTGCACAGTTTATTATCGTCCTGTTCTACATAATTTATCATTACTGGAATATCGCTGGTATTCTCCTGTGTAAAAACTGAGAGGAAGTATGTGTTAAAAAATTTTAAAACATTTCCTTATCACTGTCAGTGAGCTGACCCAGGAACTTTTGAGTGGGCCTATCTTGTCCCTGATCTTACTTCTGTATACCTGAAAGAAT